GTTTGTTACAAGTACAGAATAAACAAGCTTTCTTTAAAGCAAAATTTTAGAACTGCTCTAGTAAACCTAATGTAGGCTGCCTTTCATTGAAAATGGAAAATTAATTGCAGACAGGTATGCTTGAAATAATACTTCTTTTTGTAACCGAACACTTCTTCTGAATACTAGTAGCTGGAAATGTTGGTTAACAGAAGACTTCAAGAGCTTGTTTTTCAAATCAAGACTTAGTCGTGTTATATGCAAAGATGGAGATAGTTTGTAGTTTGGAAATTGACAAGACTGACTTGCACTAGTACGAAGTGATGGTTTCCTTATCATTTTTTTTGTTCATGATAATCAACGTCTCATTCCTGCGATTTTCTTCTCTCTCTGCTACATATACTGTTTTAGTATTCAGTTGACTATATTTAATTTTAATAGTTATATATCTCTGTTCCTTTTCACCTAGCACTCAGTTTTCCTACAGGATTAAGTTGGCAGCCTAAGGTTAGAGATAAGAAAAGCAAAGCACCAAAGGCAGAGAGGTTTATCAACGGGATCTCTGGGAAAAAGGTTAAATAATGCAAAATTACTCTGTTACTTATTTCAGTCTGTACGAATAATGTCTGTGTGGGGCCCTTTAGATGGAGGAGCAGGTATTTGTGGTAGATTAAGGAGAGTTCTATGAATTTCACAGAATTAATGAGGTATTTGAACTTTCATCCACTGCCAGTAAGCAGAAGCTTTGAAGTGTGTGCCCCAGTCCTTACGGCACTTGCCTGGGCACCAAGGATAAACCACACTATCATTATGGTGGTCTTTTTTTTGCGTTTTTCAGACGCATGTTTTTTGCAAAGGTGCCTAAACTCAGGAGTCCTGTTGTTTGAGACAGCAGGCAAATGTGAAGCAGGTGTTGATTCCCAGAAAACTCCTTTTCCGTGTCTAAGCAGCCACAGGTGAGAGAAGGGATTTAACTTAGAAACAAAGTGGTCATATGAAAGATTATAGGCTTACTGTGGAGGGTGAGGTGAGGCGCAGTGGGAGGGAAGAGGAATTTCAACATTTGTATTAAATGGAAAGGCTAGAACAATGCCATCATCGGTGGCTCTTATTAATCTATTGATCCTGCTGAGTCAGTACAAACACAATGGAAGCCCAGTGGAAGGTGGCATTTGTAGGTAATTACCACCATTTGCATAAAAGGTAAGTGTCTTTCACTTCCGTGTGTGATTCATGCTTGCTAATGTGTCGATTTAAGACCATGCTATCAAGTGTAGTTCTTGCTTAGCCTCCTCATGTAGCCTCAGTTTACAGGCTTTTTCGATTTTCTAAGAAACTTCCTAGGTTGCTGCAGCTCTGTTGAAACTGCTGAGAGAGAGATGGTAGAAGAGTAGTGGGGGGTATTGGGACCTAGTTCCTGGTGCAGAATTTAGTCTAATTTTAACTCTGGTCTGTCTCTCAAACTCACTTTTGGTTTCAGAAATCAATCTGCTTTTTCACTTAGAAGCAGTGTATAACATGTGAAACAGGAAAATAATTCACTAATAAAAATAAATTAGACAACAACAGTGAGGAACTGTCTAGCCATGCTCTACAAAATGGGAAGATCTTGGTAAAAGAGCGTATTCAGCCTTCTGAATCGTTCTTCCATGAATTTTTTTTTTTGTTTGTTTGTTTTTTCTCAATATTGTTAAGTAAACTATGGTGTTATGTTTCCTTGTAATTCCGGAACTTACTGTTTGCATTTGTCTTGGCTTCAAGATTTGTATAACTAGAATTTGCCTTTTTTAGTCATCCTTAACGAGGCATAATGGCACATAATGAGGTAAAGGACTTGAAGGTGTAAGTGTTATTCCAGAAACTTGATACTAGGCAAAGTGCTAGTTAAGCAAGACATTCACGTTTGATTTTCTAAATGAGGATTAGTGGTTATAGCAGGAAATTATCCAAATAGGAATGGATTATCTAGAATATTTTAAGGCTGTTGATTTATCCTGTGGCACGTGCTCTGGGTGTCCCTGCTGGAGCAGGGGGGTTGGACTGAATGATCTCTGGGGGTCCCTTCCAACCTCAGCCACTCTGTGATTCTGTGCGATTTGTCATATGAAGGCATTTATTTCTTCTAGGATTTGATCCAGAAGCATGGGTCTGCTTGGTTTGGAGACCTCTTTTCCCTGTCATGACAAGATGAGGGAATGTTAATGATTTGAATGGCAAGGGACCCACTCTCTACCTATCCTGTGGCTCTTAAGCCCGTTTAACCAAAGAGCCTCTGTTTTGTGTCCCTATCCCTGGTCTCCAGAAGGGGAACACAGGTTTGTCCAGTTGCTGCTGGAAGCTGGAGTGGACACCATTCTGCCAAAGCAAGATTGTTCAGCTTCGGCTGTTTGTCTTTCCTTCACAAATGACTGTTGTTACCTGCCAAAATTTCTTTACTCAATAAAATAACTTTTTAAAAGGGAAACTGATGCTAAACTTCACCATAGGTCAAAGAGAGGGAAGAGATTATTTATTCGTCTTTCTCTCATAAACTGTAACTGGTCAAGAATTTATAAACTACCAGTACATTGAACCCAAGATTTTACCTCTCCCTTGTGCACCTGATCTGATAGGAGAATCTTCTCCCCATCTAGGGGTGGGAATGGAGGAAGGGTGCGTGCCATGGCAGCGGTGCAGCCTGGCGGGCTGCTCGCACCCCTTGGCACGCGGGCGTGCAGACACCTGCAGCCACCCGCCCGCAGCCACCGTGTCGCGTGGAGCTGTGGTGACCACGGCCTCGAGCAGGAAGCCTGCGGGGTTCCGTGTTCAGACCGTAAAAACACTTCAAGGTTTGGAATTGAATCTTCTCAGGCAGCAGGGGAAAACATCTGCATTTTTCAAGAATGACATGCAAAGATTTGAATTTGTCCCACCATGCATGGGAAATCTATTTTGTATCCCCCAAACTTTGGAGATGGAGGAAGAACACTTTCCTTACAGCTCTGTAGAGGCTTCAGATGTTGGGCTCCAGGTTATACTATATATCTTCTTGTGGATTGTCATAGAAAATCTGGCATAAAATACATCTTAAGTCTCAGAGGAAATAAAATAATGGTGGAGTCACTGTTTCCACCAGAGGGTTCTGTCTGAGGCTTATTTGAGTGTCTTAGCAAGCCTTCATGGATATGCTTTAGCTCTTTAAAATGACTAAGAGAAAGAAGTAATGGAAGTACTTTTAGGTCATGTTAGTCTGCATTTTTTTCTTTCCTGGTTGACTACACTTCCACTGAGCTGGTTGCTGTTTCCTACTAGAACAGCTTGCTTCTGGGGGCTGCCCATCGCACAGATCCCGCACCTTTCCTTGCAAATTCCCGCTCCCTTTGCAGGCTGCACAAGACCTGGTGAGCGGGTTGGGTCAGCGGTCAGCTCTCCAGCTTCCTGGCTGCCTGCCCAGCTTGCTGGGAGGCTGAGCCTTCAGTGACAGACTTGGGTCCCTGGGAAACCAGCTGAGAAATGGGGAAATGTAATTTGTGTTTCTCTTCAAAAAGAATTGCCTGAGAAATGCCATCCTCTGAAAAAAATTTTTTTTTAGCTTTTTCCCTATGTTTGGAAGCGTAAAACATTTTATAGAGGGAAATTTAGTCTTCCAGGTGTCTTGTAGAAGATTGTGGGGTTTTTTTGTTGTTTGTCTTGTTTTTTGAGAATTGAATTTCCATGTCTTTAAGTGGAGCATAAGAACAGAATGTTCTAATTCCTAAATATTTTATAAGAAACTTCAGAAGCCAGTTCTCGTAAGATCATCGTGTGCTAAGCAGTCTCTGTCAAACAGAACTTCCCATGGTTTTTCATGTAAGACTCTCAGATTTCTGGAGAGATTGTTAGTTTTCTTTGAGGAAAAGGGCTGCTGAACACGTGGGAATTTTTGGTCTGTCTCTGTTGGTATAAGATTGTTGCCAGAAATACACGTGTCACCTAGGAAAAGTTACCTTTATCCTTTGAGCAGCTATGTTTATAGTTTCTTGTTGGCAGGAATCCCATCCCATTATTTAGGGAAGGGATGGGTGATCATAGTATATATTCAGTTTGCTGAATATTTGCTGAAGACGTGAGCCTAGTTATAACATGCTTCATCATGACATAATGTGCAAGAAAGTCTAGACAATTTGCTGGGTAAGATATAGAAGTTTTAATTCAATGTCATCCATGTTTATATGAAAAATCCCTGCAATTTTTGGGCGGTGTTCTGCAACTGTATGTCAGACTTTTGCAAGTTTTTTGCTGTGTAAATAACACAGTAATAATTTCTTAAGTGTTCATTTTGGCCAAATAGGAAGATTTTGACAGGCATTAATAAAACAGACACAGTGCCATTTTCCATTTTGGAGAAAATGTCACTCTTGTCATATGTCCTGTAGTGCGGTAGATACAAAAAAATGAAAACCAGCACAGACACATTTTTTTTTATTATTTGAGACTGAACTGTTAAATGATATGCAGCCCTTTCTTTCCAGAAGTGGAGCTGAGATAAAAGCAAAGGCTGATAGATTTTTTTTTTAAAAAAAAAAACTTAGTTTTGTTTTATTTTTGCCAAACCTATCCTTTATCCCCTTTTTTATCCTCTGTTGTTGAAGAGACTTCCAGCTGATCAAAGTTGGCACAGTACCTCTAGTAACAACACTGACAGTTGGTTCCTTCTAATTTTTGAGTATGACTTTTGATTAACTGCAAAAACTCCAGTTCTTTAGCTTTAGATAGAAGTAGGACCTGATTTTTTTGACAGTAAATAGAATAAAGTTAGAATTTGAGGCTGGGCCCACTTCCCATATGCATTGTTCAATGCTACTTTTTTAGCAAGCCAGGAAAATGTTCTGTCAAGTCAAGATTCTAAAGTGATGTCTTGTTTTTTTTTTTTTTTTTTTTGTATCTATGTGCATCTGTTTTGTAATTAGGTGAAAATAAATCTTCTTATGAACATATTACCGAAGCAGTAGATTTTTTTTTTAAAAAAAGGAAAGTATCTTCCTGCAAAGCACAGACTCATCATGTCGTATCATTACAATGAAGCTTTTGAAAATCCAGACTACGGCTTCTCAGAAACACTGGAAATGGACAGAGGGTAAGTGTGTATAATTTTACAGTTGCAACTATTCCATACCAGAGGGAATTCTGTATTTGTAATGCAGGGTATATTTTCTTCTCCACAGTTTTAATTTGTGGAATTCTTTTAATTCCTCCTTTATGCCTCCATTTTCACATAAAGATTTCTTAATCGGGAATTAAGAAAGATTTCTTAATCAGCTGTTCATCCAAGTGGTGTTAAGGAGAAAGTAGTCTTCATTCTAACTTCAGGTGGAGAACATTCTAGTCTTTCCTATTGATTTGATGATCAAATTAGAATTATCATGTCTTAGTTCTCGATACAAATCTGAGTTTGCTTTACACTGCACTGCAGCTTGATGATAAGAGGTTAAGGTTGTCTGTTCAGAGATATTACATGTCATCTTTCCGGTACTCGGTGCTTTCCTTTTTGTTATTCACACAGGAGGAGTTCTCAGAAGAGTCAATTCCCTCTGCAAAACCCCTACAATTCTTCACCAGCTGGTTCCTACAGAGAGCACAGTGGAAGAGGACAGAATTACCCTCTGGACATACCAATGGCCTCCATGAGGCAAGGCTCCGAATACAGCCCAAGTTTGCCGAGAGCAGCAGTCCAAAGCAGAGATCCATATGGAGATTACCACGGTATGTCATTTTTTCATATGACAAACTTATAGAAACACTGAATCAAGTAACTGACAACCCTGTATTGAGGGAGTCCTGCAGCTTTTAAAGGCTCAGCTCTTTGTGTATCCTTGTGTTTGGTGGCAGTGTTTTTTTTCCCCCTAAACAAAGTGCAGATGTTGTATTAACAGATTGGTTGAGAAAGACAAAAACAGACTTTTATGGGCTGCATATTAATTGGCTGCTAACATGTACATTGGAACAAGATATGTTCTTTTGCTTTGAAATATATTGCTCTGTTTGTAGTAGAGCTACACTGGGTTAACAGGTCTGATGTTTAGTGTTTGTAAATAATCCGTAGTAGCAGAAGACTTTCTTTGTGATTCTGTTTACCTTCAGCAGACAATCTTTCCTTTGAGCCTGAGCCAGAACTGGCACACAGCCACTCACCTTCTGCATTCCTGGATCTCCCCTATCCTCGCAGGCTTTCCGGTGCATCAGAAGGTAAGACATAAAGTTTGTGGTGAATTGGAATATTGAATGTCAGTCTCACCCTACATAAATTAATAAAATCTTAAAAGCCTTCCAGTTGAGATATGAAGTTCTTCATGTCATAAGAGGAGTCATAAAATATAATTTCTATTCTACCAGCCTACAATATTGTAGCTGAATTTTTCAATATCAGGAAAGAGAGAGTGGATTTCCAGCATAATCAGCTAGAGGATAAGTGTCTAGATCCTGAAAGTCCAAAAAATATCTCCACAAAGATGTCCAGATGATTTTCTGATCCCTTTAAATTGCTACAAAGGAAGTTGGTTAAAAATAAAAATGATACTAACTTTGGGGGACCAGTATATCTGAATAATGCATCTGGTGAAGATTTGCCACATGAGCATTAACTAACAGACACATCAGGCCACTCAGCAGGGTGTGTAAACGGGAGCGCTGCTGCTCAGAAGCAGGATGCAATGTTGAGCAGCTTGTTAGGGGATTAGCTTACTAGGAAGAAGAAGCAAAGCAAGATGTGGTCAAACTCATCTATTTCGTAGCTGCCAGGTGGATGCTTTGTGGAAATACAGTCGCTAGTGTTGCATGAAAGAAGGTAGATGCATTGATACTATGAGAATAACTGTGGTTTGATCCTGTGTAGATCCCAGGTATCTGTGCTTACTAAACAGTTCGTGTTGTTCAGTTAGCTTTACTCAGAGACACAACAGAAGACTTGCTGATGAGACCTTCATGCCATCCTACAGCCTTTCCGGCACAGACCAAGCGTATAAAGAAGGTAGGAGTTTAGAGAAATAGTTTAATAGTATGTAGCATCTTCCACAAGGTTGATGTGCTTGATACTGTTCTTGGTTTATTTTGGGAGTTGCACATATAGTCTTGCTGTGGTTATATGAAGAGCTTGGCATTGTCTTAACACAAGCAATGTCTCTTCTCTGCTAGCATGCTGAAATCCCTCAATAAATGAAGCACAGGACTGTGCTAATAAATGTGAGATTATAGAAAGAAAGGCTAAACTACTGGAACTTGCTTGGTCAACTAATGAACCCTCTTCAGCTACTGAATGCCTAGAATTAGCATCAAATTCCAAATATGTAAAAACAACTTTATAGTCAAGTAACACAATTTTGTACAATTCATGCTTTGCACTAATTTTGGTCATTAACATCGATCATGATTATGGGGGGGGGCGGAAGAGAATTAGCTTTCAAGTTGATATGTGACTATTAAACAGTGAACAAACAGTACACCAGACTTCTTGATTTTCAGTGTTTCAGTGTTTTGTTTTCCTTTATATTACAGCTCTCTGTATTAGCACAGTATCAGCAATAGGCAAGAGTGATATATATTTTTCAGCATACAGTACTGTGCTACTTCCATGAATCTGTGCTGTAATACTGGTGGTTTGAGAGATATTGAGAGAGGAATTACTAAGTTTCTGAACTTAATGTACTTTGATAGAAGTAAAAATGGGGAATGTTATTATATCCATTTAAAACTTTATAAGAGCTAATATTACCATCCTAAATTTTCAATTTTAATTCTTTTTTTTGAAGAAGCAAAGTTAATTGGAAGTCTTGTAAGTATGTCCACCCGTGAAAGGATTAAAGCAATCCAGAAGATGCCAGAGACTATGAAAAAAAAGAGAGAGATAAGGTAATAAATAAATAAATAAATAAATCTCTGTTTAGATTTACAGATGCTACAATTTTGGCATTCAGTTATCAAATGTGAGTGTTTCCCAGCTGCTCAGCCTTGGTTAGTCACTTTGAGTATGAAAGAATTGAAATTACTTTTTATTGTGCTTTTAAAAAGTAACATCTTGCAGGATGTTATTTTTTTTTAGCCACTGTTAAGAACAACTTAAAGATGTTTCATTGTCCTTTCTGTGGAGAAGCAATGCCTTGCTGTACTGTTTTGTGTTCCCATGACAAATATTATTATGAAAGATGACTTGAGATTTTTATTCGAAAGAAACTTAGTGTTGCACATGGGAAAAGGAGAAGAGACCACATAGTCTGACCTAGCACTTTATTTCATGATATATTTATACTATATTTTTATATTTTTATATTATATTTAAATCTGTTCCCAACAATAAGTAAATCGCAGATTTAGAACATGCAGTCATGGGCAAGGGCCATGGTTTCAACTAATAGAAGATCCGATTGAACAATCTCAATATTTCATTGCTCTTCTGCTGCTTGTGAGCACATGTATCACACTGTATTTGCAGCAGTTTCTTTGGCTCTTTGATTTAAGTACAGCCCAGACAGTAACACTTGTCTCCCTCTGGCCTGCTCTCCTACAGGAATAAAGTTCTTAAAGAAATAACGGAAAAATCAAGGAGACACAGAAATCAGTGTGACTGCTGTGCACAGTGTTTGCAGAGAGTGGCAGTGGTGAGTGTCCCGCGGTTGGTAGGTCTCCCACGGTTGGTAGGTGTCACACAATTTTGTCAGTCAAGTAAGCAGCTTAAGCTACAATGTTGTTATCCTCTCCAGAGGGCTTTGGTATCTAGCTTGGCATTGCTTGCCAAAAAAAAACCTGTTAATTGCTGCAGTGCTTATGGCAACAGTTGGGAACCCCAGTTAAGCATCTTGCAACACCCACGGAGTGGGGAATGTCTTCCTATCATCAAAAGATAAATGTGGAAAATGTGAGGCTGTGTTACTGCAATGTGAGTCCTGTTGCTTGCTGAGATTTATTCTCTCTTCTCTCTTGCACTTCAGTCATATCGACGATTTAGGAATACCTTGTCAGAATATTTTCACCTACTACAATTATGGCAGAAGACCCTGAAGGTCATCGGTGGCGAGTTTGGAACTGGTGTTCTGTCTTACTTTATTTTCCTGAAGTGGCTGCTTACTTTCAACATCTTCTCATTCCTCATAAACTTCAGTTTCATAACAATCCCTCAGTTTGTTGCAGCCACACCGAATAATCTTTCATTCATGGGCCTGGAGCTTTTGACTGGAGCTGTAAGTATGTAAAAGCAGATTTGTACTATCATTGTGTGCAAGCAGTTATGCTTTAAAAATCCATGACAGTGTAAAAAATGAATCATTTTTTCTTAAGGAATGGAGTTAATTTTTATATTACTAGAAAATATTTAGTACATATTTGGAAAAAGAAGCTGTAACAAACAGTGACCCAGAGTAAGCTGAGTGGATCTTATTCTGATGCATGTTATACTGTCTATTTTATTGACAGTGCTTAGTTGAGCACTGTGCTTAGTTGAGAAGAGATTAAAAAAAAAAAAAAAGTGTAAGCTTTTCCCATGTAGAATTGCTTTTGAAGTGCTGTATTATGTAGTAATGCTGTTCACCTTTGCAAACTAATGCCACCATTGCAAAAGTTCAGCTATAATATAGTAATTCAAGTGATAAACATTACACATTTCCTTCTTGGTCCGTCATAGCTATCACAGTCTGTCACTACAGAACTTTGCTCCTGCCCAATAAAGAAACAATTAGACTTTTCCCTCTTAAGGAATTTTCAGGGAAGACTGAACAAATCCTGTGAATATGTTGAGTGCTCACTACCATCCCATATGAATCTTACAAGGATAAGAGTCACAATATGCCTCAAGTAGCTCACAGAAACATAGAAAAGTTTAGCAAATAGAAGGAAAATAAAGGGCCTGATATTGAGATGTTTAATCATACCAGGGATTTCACAGCAGGGAATGGGACTGCTACCACTCTTGTGAATTGGGCTTCAGATTATGATGCATCACACGGTATGCAAATAGCAGATATTCTGAATGATGTTCGTATCTTTTCAGGGTTATTTTCAGGAAACAGTACTCTACTATGGCTTTTACACCAATGCTACAATTAGGAAGACAGAAAAAGGTGCATCTTACAACATGCAGCTGGCCTATATTTTCACTGTTGGAATTTATTTTGTCATCTGTTTGCTTAGCTTGGTGTTCAGGTAAGTGACATATTCCTATTTCTCTTGCTAAGTGAAATGGTGGGTAGTAGTAGCTATGGGACACTCTGGCCCAAGCATCTTTCTGCAAGTTGCTATTTCTACTTTGCAGTTTAAGGAGACGATCCTGCTCAAAAGGCAGTCTCGCATCAAACCATTATTGGTTGGGTGAAGAATAACTGCAGAACAGAAAGGGCCCTGCAGATAATCCCAGCTTAGACTAATGAATATCATGATCTCCCTTTTGTAAGATGTTGCTTCTAGTACCTTATGTCATTAACATGACCTTCCAGAGGCAAACATTGTCACAGCGACTGGGAGAGAGAAGTGCAAAAGAGCTGCTTCTTGCATTAAAACTTACTTTCCATGTCTTTGTCAGATGCTCTGACATAGGTCCGTTAGCCACGGGAAGAGGTGAAAAGGCAAATCTCCTTTCTGTCTTGCTGTAAAGACTTGGTGTATTTCTCCATTACTCATCTCATTTTTCATTGCAGCATGGCAAAATCCTTCCGCAGGAACTTCATTAACCCTCAGATGTACTCTGGACAAGCTAGCAAACTTCTCTGCACTTGGGATTTCAATATAACTAATGAAAAAGCTGTGAAACTGAAGCAAAAGAATCTCAGCACGCAAATAAAGGTACGGAACAGAGGAGGTGTGTACGTGCCTGTACAAATAAGCCTGAGTGACCCAAGAATGATAGTCCTGTACATAGTAGACTTAACAGTTTTTTATGAATATTAAGTTTGATTGAATCTTAACTCCTGGAGTTGACTTAGCAACTTGTTTTTCTTCTCTTTAAGCTACATATAAATATTTGTATGTATTTGTTCTATTGTATGAACCTCTGTGACTAGTAAGATACTTACCAAACAGTATTTGCTCTGTTTCTTTTTCTTGCTTTTTAACTGTTTCATGAGCAGAAGGCAGAATTTGATCTTAGCTGTGAGATATCATATAGCTGTGAGAGAAACAACTTTTAGGCTGGGAATACAAAATTGTCCAGTAAATGTTCCCAAGTTATTACTGCACCCATCTTCTAAAGAAATAATCTTTCCTTCAAGTACTTTAAATAGGTTTTGCTTCATGCTGTTGGCTGAAGAATTCTGAGCATTTTATTCCCTGCAGGAAGCCCTCTTTGAGGTAAACAGAGAAGTTCTGAATTTTTCTCTTAAGGAGAGATTTGTTCATATTGTTATTCATCTTGCTGCTTGGGTTGCCTCCTTGGGAACAGCAGTAGCTGCTTGTGCTGGTGTTTACTTCCTCTCCATTCATAATCTAGAGGTAAGCACAGCTTTAGCAGTCTCTCTTTTTGGGGGGGCTGCATTTCTCCACTTGGTTTCCTAGACTGAATGCAAGCAGTGGACTGTTCACAGTTAAGGCAGTAGGGAAGCATAGCTGCTGTTGTGCTGATGCACGCAGGCTCTGCTGTACCTGAAAAAGGCTTGTTTGGAAGGATGTGCAGAGTTGGGGACTGGAAGGACTGCAGGACGTGAACAGTCTGAGCACGTTCACCTCACACCAGGGGTTTGACTGCCTGAGCTTATGGCCAGCTTGGAGATGGTGCAGCCAGTGATCTTGAAAGAAACAGAAGGGGCCTCAGCAAGGCCTGACGTTCCTCTGCTTTAGAGCTGCTTTTAAGCTGAGGCTTAAAAGATTTGGCTTCCTGCCTTCACCTTGGATCTATCCATCACTGTGGCAATCTGAATTGTTGGCTGAACCTGGCTACAGTCTCTGTACCTGCTTCCCTTGCCCTCCTCAGCTGCTGGGGGACTCCTGTGTCAGTGAGGGCACTGCCTCTGCTTTGCTTGTCCTGTGTGACTTGGCTCAGACCTTCCCTTGCAGAGCAGCCTGACTGTGCTGCTCCCTTACAGTGCCTTGCCCTGCCAAGGTCACCGTGCCCTGATCTGCTGCCACAGCTCCTCCAATAGCTACCCTCTAGCCCAGCTTAGCTTCAGTGGTCTGTGGTAGCTTTTATACTTGTAAAATAAGGTGTTAGTAGTGAAGATCCTCCTGAATGATGCAGCAGACACTGCACTAGCTCTGAAGGAGTGTCTGTAGGTGGATTGGAAACAGCAACTATTCCATCAGGCTCAGCATGAGCCCCTTTGGATCTCCTCATCCAAGAATGTACAGGGAGGTGTGCCTTCTGCAGACACAGTTTAAGGTAGTATTTTACTTGAGGCTCTGAGTGTGCTGAGTGTGGTGTTTTTTTTTTTTTTTTTTTTCCTTCCTCCTCTCAAAGCTGTTCATGAACGAGCATAAAAATGACCTGGAGAACCAAGCTGCCATGTTGGTGCTACCCATTGTTGCCTCTCTCCTCAATGCATTCATCCCGTTCTTCTACTCATGGCTTGGGCTCCTGGAGAAATTTCAGAATCCCAGACACCAGATATATGTCACTATTACCAGGTATTATTACTACCTCCTCTTCGTGCTTTTGGCTTGAAGTTGATTGACTCTCCTTTTTGAGAGGAAACTGTCACTAGGTGGGGTATTTTTTCCCTCATGATTGGGCATGCTGTGATGCTGGTCTTGGCTTTGTAGCTTCTGTAGATGTCTACTGTGCTATGGGCTGTCAGGGGAAAGGAGGAAGAGTGGAGAGAGAAGGTCTCGCTTCCTCACAGATGCGAGGGTCTAACAGTGCATAACCTCCTTGGGGCGCCCCTTGGGCCTTCCTGCCCAGCGACCCTCACACACCTTGTGCCAAGGTTGTCACGGCCGGCTCCTGTTGTGCCAGGACAGCAGAACAGTGTCACACCTGAGCTCAGAGCGCCTCTTAGTCCTGGCACTGTGCAGGGGTATTGTTAGTGTAAAAGGAGGTGGTCATGTGTGACCTGTGGTCATGCTGCCACCATTGCTTTCTGTGAGCTTGTGAGCCAGCTTCAGTGCAGTTACTGTTACTTTTTCCTTCCAGAAATATCATCCTGAAAATATCAATTGTTGGAATACTGTGCTACTACTGGCTTAACATTGTGTCTGCATCAGAGTCACACGTAAGGTTTCAAAAATACAATTCTTTGACTTAAAATGTCAACTCAGGAACCACTTTGATAGGCTTCCTCCAGCAAAGCAAAATAATGTAATCTCTTGTACAGCTGAATTTGCCATCCTGATGTTTCTTTATTAGAATCTTTAGGAAAATGAACTGTGAGGGGGGGAAAAAATAGTTGCCCAGCTTGAGTCTCAGCTTATCTGCAGCAATGCTTAAAGAGAGATCAACTGTGGTTAGTTAGGGGGTACTACCAAGACTTTGGTCTGGAACCCAGGCTTTAGATAGATGCCCAAGCATTAGTGAAGGATGTTCGAACTGTGTATTTTTTGACTTATGGATATACATGTACTTTTTCCCTTTATTTATTTTTCCTGCAAAGTGCTGGGAAACTCTGGTTGGCCAAGATATCTATCGACTTGTCCTGGTTGACTTCATATTTTGTTTGCTTGGCTGTCTCTTTGGAGAATTTGTACGAAGGTAAGCATTATTTTCTTAAATTTTTGTTTTTATTCACAGAGATTGGTGCCAAAGATATACGGTCCTTCCTTCCTAATGTGAAAATAGAAGTACAACAGAGGCATGTCGGTGGCACCACCAACGCTTCCTTGTTTGTCTCCAGCAGGCCTGGTTTCGAGGCGTGTGCCACGGCTACGTGCCTGCCCAGGCTCCTTACGAGGAGACCAGAGGGGTGTTGTGCTCTCCCTGTGTGTCCTTCTTCCCCTTGCATGGAATCCAGGCCCGGAGGAAGCCACAGTGCACTCCGGTAGAGCTCCTGGATGGGGTGAAAAAGGTTCTGGAGCTGAGTGATGGGCAGAAGACACTACTTTTCTGTATACACACGGAAACATTACTGGTTTTCCTTAGTATGCCCCTTTGTATTTTTTTCTCTCACTTGTGTCACTTTACAAAGTGCACACAAGTTCTGAATCTTGTTTTAACAGGTCTTAATTAGGATGTAACATGGCTTCCAATGTAGAATTTTGTACTCTGGTAGGTAAGGAATTCTTTTTTTTTAAACTGGTAGTGCGTAAGTGCATTAATTGCATAAGCAGTCATTTATTTCTGAGTGTGTTCCTTTTCTGCTGCCTGACATTATTTATGAGTTGGGATTGAGAGTACTGAGTGTTTACCAGCATTTAGAGTTCCCGGCAATACCTGTAGGAGGTCCATGGCCATTGTTTGCCCTCCGCATACAGTAAGCACAAGACTGGCATGTAAGTTATGACTTTCATGTTAATTAAAAAGCAAACAACATGGAGAAAACCTTGAAGACTTCTTCCTGCACAGCTGTTCCCTGTGATCTGTGTCCTCGTGCTGTTCTGATAGGAAGCCAACTCCCAGCAGGAGGTTACGGTAAAGCTGCAGCGTCATCAGTGATGAATGTGTGAAGGCACCAGCCTTATGGCCCTAGGAGATTAGAAATACAGTTGTCTTTATGTGTTCAGGGACACACCCAACATGCTTGGCACAGAAACCTTGGTAATGGTGCAGCTGAGCAGATGGTACAAAGTCTGATATTCAAGGAAAGATTGAAAAAAAAGTAAAAAGCAGAAAGTGAATCTAGCTCAGAAAAAATAAGGTGATAAAATGAGAACATTGGTCCTCTGCAGGAAGCCGTGTCTCAAGTTACTTGGACCTTGCTTCGTTTAAAGTACAGTATACTGCAGGATGTGGTTAGAATATCATCCTGTAAGATTTTCAATTGAGGCTGAGATTTTTTCAGAACTCCAGACTGAAAAATACAGTTTTTGTACTGGGGTAACTTGCAGTTTCAGCTCCCTAACCAGAAAAGTATGTTTAAAAAATCCTAGATCTTATTCCATTATTTTATTATTTAATTTTTGATTTTTCTGTCTAATCAACAAGCTATGCCTACTTTGCAAGACATAGTGAATGAAGCCCCCTGAATAATTTGTTACTGACGCTAGTATTCAGAAGGTTTCTTGTGGAAATTTCTATAGAGGGTTTAATCACTGAGGAAATCCTATTGTACTGTTTTTTTTTTTTTTTTTTTTCCCCAGAATTATTGGAACCACCGTCTGTGTAAACCTGGGGATGCCAGAATTTGATATTGCACGAAATGTTTTAGATTTGATCTATGCACAGACTTTGACCTGGTAAGTGGTGAGTTTATGGCCAAAACTTTGGCACTTAACTGTACCACAGCACGTGCTGACTGGTGCTTTTATGAATGTTTTGCATCTTGAAGGAAAGAACAGGATAAATATATGAGACACTATATAAAGCACCTTTGTAAATATTGCGACTTACCTATTTTCTTTGTAGTTATGCAGATGATAGCAATAACTATTCAGAATCCAGGCAAGTTCACTTGATAGCTGCCTTCTCTAGGAGGAAGCTGTGAAAGGAAGATCATGGAGTTTTGCTTGCTTGCCCACTGGAATAATGTTCCTATTGAAATAGTTTCAGTATTAAACACTAAAAAAATTCATTATTTCTTCGTTACTTCTAAGAATGTGTATGTTACTGAAATTATAAGACAATTTTGCAGGTATATGTCCATATGTTTGGTTTGAATTTGCATATTTTTAAATTCTAGCTAACACTGCTCTTGTATCAGTAAGTATAACTGTATCTGCCAAACACTATGTGGAAATGCTTTTAGTGCAGTAAGCACTGTGCAGTGAACACTGGAGGTTTAACTTTTTTTTTCTTTTTTTTTTTTTTCCTAAATCCTTTCTGGTAGGATTGGTATCTTCTTCTCGCCTCTGCTGCCTGGTATCCAGATGATAACATTTTCTATAGTATTTTATGTGAAAAAGGTAACAAGCTTTACGTGCATTCATCATAAGAACTATATCTCTGAGAGCATTTGACATCTTAGCAGGGATGAATTAGTCTAGAGTGTTGAGCCTCCTTGGAGGCTGTGAGATTTGGAGTGTAGAAGAGCAATTTGGTTAGTTTTTTTTGCTTTAAAAGAGCAAAATTTAGATGTACACTCTCAAGTTATGAAACTCGAGAGGGGGAAAAATGTAGAAGGGTAGTAGTAGGAGAGGTTAAGAGCACAATTAGAGAGTGAAAAGAATAAAATAGTGAAATCAAAAGCTGGGGAAATTAAGGGGTGTCCATGTGTATGTGTCTATACAGACAGAGTCTGTTGACTTTTCTGCTCCCTCTTCTGCCCCAGTAACCTAAATACTAACAGGGTGAGATTCAGCTAAAGATATGGTGCAATTTTCTTCTTTTCGGACTTCTTTTTCTTAGTAAGGTGACTAGACTAATAATATAGACTAAACCCCATAATTATTTATTAGGGAGTTAAGTGATTTGTAGCCCTGAATGTAGAACTGGAGCAAAGCTATAACTAGAACCATGGATTCAAGCTTCCCTGAACTGTGGGTCTGTGTGTTTTGCGAACACCCTCTCCCCAGCAGTAGACCTATCAGAACCTCACTTAGCACTGTGCCATTTGAAAGGCTGAGCTCTTAGAGTTTTTAAAAACCACGGTATATCTATCAAGTTCTTACAAAGAAAGTCTTAAACAATGGTGTTCCAGGGGTTGTCTTCAGAAACTTCGGAGGGATTGACTTGAGCCCCCTTGAAGTGTCAGGTAACACCGTTCCAAGACCGAGTGTGTTCCCGTCTCTTTAAAGGTCAGTCTGATGATGAATTGTCAGCCTCCCCGCAAGGTCTGGAGAGCTGCCCAAATGACAACACTCTTCATCTTCCTGCTCTTCTTCCCGTCCTTTGTGGGAGTCCTGTCTGTCATTGGGGTCACTGTCTGGAGGTACGTCAGAGCACCACCGTGCAGGTTCACCGTGTTGCACGGTGATCTGAGAGCAGGCAGAAGAATGAGTGCTTTTCCATGTATAAAAGATAACTCTATTTTAATTGCCTCTGAAAGGTTTCAGATGTTCATGAAACGTTCTGTATCCTCAAAACAAACCATTCTCAGTTTCTAAGAATGTGGTTAGTGTAATGTGTAGGCTGTATGGGAACATGCGCTGTCCCAGAACAGAGTGGGAGGAGAAGCAAAGTTGCACTAAACTTTTGGGTTCCTTTGAAATGTCACAGGAAATTTGGCTTTTCTTCCTCAAAGGTTTCTGTGACTTAGCCTGTTGCATTATAAGCTGTATTGGGTCTGCAGGGAAGAAAAACCTGGAAAAACTCAATTCAGTCAATTTTTGGATTATTTCCTAACTTCGTAGGCCCTTTTGGTAGCCAGTGCTGAGCAATGATGCAGCTTGATGGTTGTCATTATTTTAAAGCTATGTTGCTTATATGTATGTTTCTCTGCAGTCACATAATGCGGGCAATACATATCCCTTTTTTCTTTTTCTTGACAATTCTCATCCACCTGAATTTGGTATTCACCAAAGCTGGTGGTTACATCTGAAACCAGGGACAATGAAATACTTCAGAGCAAATATGTCCAGATGCAAAGTGGTAGTTTCAGGCTCTTAAATTGCTTCAGTCTCAAAACAACAACATTTTACAATCTCAGTCTGTCTGAAAACTTTCATTTTTGCTGCGGGCTGCCTTCGCCACATTCTGTTGTTACTGAAAGTGCATAGTGACTCAGGGGCTGGAAGGCAAGGGATGATGGTTTTATTAAGCATACGTGATGCAACTTGGAAAATTCGGATTTTCAAATTCCTGTAGCCTGTGCTATGTTGTTACTTATAGATTGTTACATTTAGAGTTGCTACATTCAGGCCAAGATCACTGTTAAAGGCCTGGTACTGATGTGTTGCATTAGAGTCTCTAATTTTTTACCGCATAGACCAAACTGGGTGTTTTAATGGGCAAAATGTCACTCCGGGAAACAAACTAGACATAGATGATGGAAATTCCCTAACGCTCAAAGGAGGCCAGAGGACTACAGGAAACTAACAAGCAACTTGATGTGCTGCATGTTTAAACCAGTGGTTGGTATCTGAAGCTTTAAATGTCTGTTTTCTCATACTTCCAGATTAAAACCTTCAAAAGAATGTGGTCCTTTCAGGGGTTTATCTTCTATGTATGCTGCAATCTCTGCATGGGTGGAAATACTGAAAAACTACTCTGGCTCGAAATGGGTAGTGTGGATCTACCAAAATTTCTTTGAAAGTGCACTGTTCTTCTTCATCCTCTCCACCATTCTGCTGTAAGTACTTGGTAATCAAAAGCACTGGGAAAGAATGTGAAGCAGAAAACCTGGCAATGTCACGGGCAGTGTCTGCAATGAATTTGCAAAGCACATCTTAAAACATCAGGAAGCTCATACATTGGAAATTCATATGTTTGAAATGGATGAAGAAATTATAAAAAATGTTCCTTTCATGTTAGGATTCCAAAGCTCTCTACAAACCAGCTTCATGCTGACTCCGGGAGACAGTTTTTGCCTGAACACTTCTAGCATATTGATACCCCAGCTTCCAGATCTGTTACCACTGGCATGCTCAGCTTTAAGAACATCAGCAAGCAGAAACATGCTGCATTCAGTCTGCAAGATAAATTGCCTTTTTTTCAGAGGTGAATGAAGCAATAGGGAAAGGTCCAGCTTTCTCAAGCACAAGTGATAAAGGCCAGCTCTGTACTAAAACCTTCTGCCTAAACACAGAAGTTCAGGGGTGGTCACACTGTCTTTTCAGATCTCTTCTCAGCAGTTGAGTCATTTGTGGAGACGGTACCATGTAAAGAATACTTAGGCTATAGGCAGAGATTCTGTGGTGTGTTGCAGCACATTAAAGTTGGCACACCATATGGGGAATGCTAAGAAATAGTCTGCAGTCTGTTTCCAACTAATCACAGATAAATTCACATGCTATCTCCTGGACCAGATTAATGTATGTTGATAAAAACACCATGTCCTTATGTAAGATATGCCTCCTTTAGGAGGGTTTGTTGCTGTAGACATGCTGCTTGATACTTCTAGCATAGGATGGACCTTGCGTGCCTAGGAACCAAATGCTGTTCTCATAAAACAAGAAAATTTCCGCTTACATTTAGTGGATCCAGGATTTTCCTGGAAGCTGTAAATATTCAGTGTTGTGATTTCAGTTCCCGCACCTAAGTGATTGATACAGGGCAGGGTAAGAGCAGCAGGCTGAGATATCAGAGGTGCACCTTGTACTATTTATCTACTTTAATTATGTTTGTGATCTTGAATTGGAGCCCATAAAGCTTTAAATCATCTCCAAGAAAACATTGTGGGTTTGCCATTCCATATGTAATGAGATAAGTCTTTTGGTATATAAAATGAACAAGAAAGCTTTCTGTTTAGGCAGTGTTTAGGAGGAGATGTATGTGGGTGTGAGTGCTCATCTTTTGGACTTTTTCTCCTTCAGAATTATTACATATCTTTACTGGCAAATAATAGAAGGAAGAAAGACCATGGTCAAGCTCTTGCGTGAGCAAATTATGAATGTAAGTTTGACTTTCAGCTTTGGCTTCTTTGTGGATTGTCTCATCCTCCTGTAGTGCAGTTCTAGTATGCTTTTCCTGTGACAGTGTGGGGGAATAGGGAAGTCCTCCCCCATCCCCCATGAGATGTGCAGGAAACGTAACTCACAAGCCAAAAAAAAGTTTTAAAAAAGTAATTTTACTTTCAAGCTCTGCTACTGTAGCTTTTTTTGGAGATACATTGTTTTGGAATAAAAGATATTTTAATGATCATTCTGGTCACTGGTTATTCGTAGACAGGCCTTGAGCATCTCTCAGAATGATTAGTGTGTTCCAGCTAATGATTAAACGTGTCTTGACCATAGGTAGGAAAAGATAAAATGTTTTTACTTGAAAAACTACGAGGACTGCCAACAGCAAGACAAAACCTATCTGTGCCAAGAGGACAAGACCAGCAGGTCAGTTTGATAGTTCACATGCTACTGTTTTAATTACTTACCTGTTATGATTTTGTGGGATTCCTCTAGTCTTGCAAATAGGCATTTTGGGACATCTTATACTAAAAACCTGCCTGTATTTAAAAACATACATTGTAGATCAACAGCACTATTCTGTACAGCATCCAGCCTTACTGCCTGAGCTCTGCTCTTCCTTTGCTAAATGGACCTCATCTACTTCAGCTAACTATTTTTTTATAAGGTCTTGCAATAACAGCCAAATTGTTTGTGTAACAAACCAGAGAGACCCATCCATGAATGAGAGGGGCTTCCAGCAGCAGAGTGTAAGAACAGGACCTTGAAAAGGGCAACCTGCACATTTGTTTCTGTGTGGGTAACAGACACGAGCGAGTGTGTTCTACCTTGGATCCATCCTCCTCATAGCTGAATCTGGGGGGTGATGGTGTCTCACCAGGAGATGATCTCACAGAAGGTGCCGCGCAGTTTGCAGAGCGCGGAGGTCGTGTCCCTGCAGCACCACGAGATGGAGCACGAGGCTGGCGCAGCCTCTGCTCAGGGCCTGACAGGAGGCTTTTCTGACCATTTCTCAGCAAACAAAGACCCCTTCCTGTGCTGCTCTCTCTGCACATAACTCTGCTCTCTATTACTATAGCTTCTCCAGATTGTTTTCTCCATTGTAGTGACCATGCTGTCCCTTTTAGTACCATCAAATTGTACAGCAGATGAAGTAGGAAGGAACCTCTGAAGGTCAGCTAGTTCACCCTCCACTCACAGCAGGGCCAAGCAGATCAAGTTCTAATATCCAGAACTACTTGGCTCCAGAGGAGAGGCTTTGTCATATTTCAGCCCGCAAGGATGTCCTTGGACTGTCCTGTGCTGGAGAAACCTCTTCAGATTAAATGAAGGGACTGAACATCTTGAATTTATTAAGTAAGGAGCATATTGAGGCCCACAGTCTTTATTCCCCTTCAGTTTGTTTTCAGTTTTTCTTTTTTTCAAACACAAATTGACTCCAGAAATGTAGAAATGTAGCGAAACTAATTTTAACAAGACACACAAACACAAGACAAAACAAACAAAAAAGGATTCCACCCATATGACTGGCATTGGATGGCATGGTACTGAGTGGCATTAATGCTACCTAAACTCTGAGTAAAAGTAAATACACTTGACTGTAAATTGAGGAAGTTTGAGGTAAATAAGCATTTTCTTGTGCTAGGAGATTTTCAGATATTGGAGAATCTAGAGGCAGTTTCCAGACCGCAGACAGCTGGGACTTCTGGTGGTGGGGAGGGTGATAACCTACCAAATATGGATATTCTTGTAGTTGTTTGGGTATGATTTCAAAAGGAAATGCCAAAATAACCAAATTGTGGATCTAGTACAAAGGACACATCTCTGAAACGAGGGGTAACAGCCTTTATGCGGATACTGACCAAAAAGTCAGTGGGAAGCCAGGATGTATTTCTGCTAATGTCAGGTATTCTCTTTCAGAGAAGCTCTGCTTCAGACCATTCACCTATGCGACCTGGCCAGCACATGCCAAGCTACCCAGAAAGGGCATTTGACAGAAATCAAAACACTTTCCGTGATGAGGTGAGATAGCTGAAGAATAAAGTCCCTGTGTGATCATGATATAGAGAACAGCCATATATGGAACAAAGACAGTATCCTGGGGAGGGGGAGGACCTGAAATGACAAGTTAAACTGAATTTTATACCTGAATTATAACTAGAATGTCTTTGGAATAGTCATGTTCTTATAGATCTGCTTAAAATCTGAGGAAAGGATATGATTTTGTTGCTGGTAACTGGTAGCTTTTTAGATAAAAGATGACAGGCACATGAAGAAAGCATACACATATATGTGACTTGTGGATTTTGCTTTCAGTTTTCCTATTCTCCTGAGATCTTGGAGGGGATTGGCCTTCCAATGGGTAAGCAAAAAATGCTAAACACAGAGAAAGCAACTCTCGGAAGTTCAACTCGGTATAAACGTTGGATGTGGTAGAGATACAGAATATAATAGATTGATATAATAGGCATAGAATTTTAGCATCTTGGGTAAAAGGAAAGCAAACAGAGGAGATTTCTAAGGCCCGTGTCTCCTAGTAGGGAACGCTTGTTGGTAGCGTACTGTGATGGGTGGTGCCTCTGAAGTCTGATAGCAGAACTGAATTGCTTTGGGTAAAGGAGCCCCTTTGTGCTATGGGAGCAAGGAAGGTAAGACTTACATCCCGTGAGATATACACTGGATGAATCCCAGCAGTGGTTATTAATGATGTACAGTCCCTAGGACACCCTGGGTCCTGAGTAAAATCAGCTATGGAATCTTGCCTGGTAACTTGAACTGCTCTCAGTTTACACAGACATCTTCATTCCAAATACTGGTCAGATCAGACATTTAAGCAGTGTGGGGTTTTAACCAGCGGGTGGTTGTTAGACCTGCACCCACCACGGTTAACGGCCCTTGCTTTGTGAAAAACAGATGCAGAGACATCTCAGCCAAGCAGCAGGACGGGGATGTCGGAAGCACTGGCGCTCGCTCTGCGCGCTCGACAAGCAGCTGAAGAAGAGGACGATGGCCGGGATTATTGACCATGATTGCACAGCATGAACAATGGGTGTTAATAGTCACTAACTGACCTTCTACAGAAAGTGGTAGTGTTTTGCACTAAGGACTGAAAAAAACATGAAAAAATATTTATATTTTTTCCAAATGGAATAAAAATCCAAACATTAGATTGCAGTTAATTATAGGGCAGGTTTGGCTTGGAAACAGGGTGATTCTGGTGATGATAAGCCTTGCCCCAGGACTCTACTGCGCCAGTACAGTATTTCCTAATTGTAAATGAAAACTTTGGTCTGAAAGTATTTTTATATCAATTAGATTGTTTGAACTATTTTTATATGATCTAACCAAGTATTGGTTAAATAAAGAGGATTTGTCAAATAGAGTAAAATTAAATGACAATTATTTTTAATGACTGATACATCGTAATGGCTGCAAAGTAACTTGTATGAACCACTATGGAACCATCTGCTCCATTTTCACTCTTTTAACAGCCATTTTAACAGGGACTGCTACAACCATTCAAAATTAGTTTTGATGTTAGAAGCTTTTCTTAATGGTGACTTTATTTTCAAAATTCTGTTTTAAGTGCTTGTAAACAAAAAGTTTGTGATGTTTATCCTTTCCAGTGAAGGATGGGTTGGAAATAACTAAGCTGATACTTTTCATCATATGTGGCTTTGAGGCACTTGCTGCTGCTTTAGACATTATCTTGAAAGAGAGGCACATCTCTTCCCCAGAATCATAATTTGGTTAAAGACAACCCAAAAATAGCTATCAAATGTATAGAAAAAAAGGACATTTACACATAATAAAAGACCACAGATTAAATTTTATTTAATTTTGCTGTGTACCTAGCTGTAGTGTCTAGTAGTGAATATTTGAAAATGGGCCTCGTGTTAGCACTGAGTACAGCAGGGTGGGAGAAGCAATGACAAGAACTTTGAAGCGAGGGTTGTCTGCTGGGAAGGAGCCATGAGAAGCAGCTGAAGGACGCAGCAGCGTACACAGAGTTGATGCACGATGTGCACTGAGGCCAGAGCAAAGGATCATTGGTTCTGCAGTGGTGGAAGAGCAACACGAGGTGACAAGGCTCCCACTCCTGGTAGCGGAGCTGCCTGCGTGAGTATAGCCTCCTTGATACTACGTAGCTGCTAAATATTTGCTATTCGAGTGTAAAAAAAAAAAAAAAAAAAAAAAAAAAATCCACCCTTTGCAGAAAGGCTAAAAATCCTGGCACTTGGATACATGAGTAAACAATTCATTGTTTCAGAAAATGTTTGTAATAGCTATTGCTATCCATGTGCATTTGGCTCATCTACAGCAATCCTGTTTACATCTGTGGTAGCTCTTTATTTCTGGATCCTATTTGTTCTTCTCATCAACTGATTTGATCATATTTTGCGCCTCATAGCTCTCTTCCAGGGGAGAGTAAGTGCTGTAGCAAATAAATAATCCTCACAGTAAAAAAGATTTCCTCACCAGACTTGAAGGTAAGAACTTCTGAAGCAGGGCATGCACGAAGCACTTTGCAACATCACTGTCAGCTGCACTCAGGAGTATTGCCTCACTGCTGAGAGGGCAAATGCATCTCTCCTGCCACTAAACTTGCTTTAATTGGGCAATTGTTTTTTTTCCACTGTACATTTTATTTTCAAAAAGATTATCTTTTCTCTCTTTTATTAAGGATGATTTTAAATATTAGCTGGCTCTGTGACTAATTCTACCTGTGAGACGTACCATCAGGGACTGTTTATATTTAGTAGCAATGTACCAAACTGTACCACTGATCCACCTGATCTGCTCTCTGACTTGTTGCAGGTGCCATGCTCCCCCAGCACGTTAGGAAGTGCCCAGCCAGCAAGTGGTGCAGATCTAAGCTGAAGAGGAACAAGGCCTAAACAAAGAAGGAATTTAACAACACACTAGGACAAGACAGGAGGTTACTGCAACGTAATTACACTTTTGACTCACTCGTACATTACTACACATGGCAGTCGACAGGTATCTTATGAGATTACATCTCAACCTGCAGCAGGTAACCAATCATTCATTTATTTATATTGAAATTAGTATATTGTTTTCCAAAATGGTTTTAGTTATTTGACTTGATAAAATTTCCATGATTTTGGCTTTTAAGAAGGCCTTTGCTGTTGCTAACATTGACAATCTTCCCCAACTACCAGCTCTTTCCAGAGCAGAGCTGTAATGGGAAAAAGGTTTCACTGATGAGGAGGGGGAAAGGGGGAAAAAAAAAAAAAAAAAAAAAACTCAAGCAACCTCTCCTGCACTGATTTTTGGGTACTTCATCAATCTGCTGATAAGCATCTGGTAAAATATACAGTGCCCTTGAGAGTACAAACAAGTATTTGCTTACTGTAACTGCAGATTCTCTTGATTTCAAATCAAATCTGGATGACAGATTCCCACATATCCTTGTCCTTCAATTGTGCAAACAATTTTTCAGCCAGCTAACTACAAAAGGCGTTTCAGCTCTATTTGCTTTACAGCTAGCACCATTCAATATAGAGCTTTCTTTTAAAAAGTAAATACATTAATGTGTGCTATTGTTGGAAGGAGAGATCATCTGTCCTGCTTTACTTGTTTTAAAAAGATCAGAAGGTAAGAAGATGTTCAAGTTTTAACCATTAAAATGGTTAGTCTTTACTAACCATTTTGGTTAGTAAATGGCTCAGTCTTTACACTGAACATGAGAAGCTGGCTTTTACTTCCTTCTTGGGAATGCAGCCATCCTTCCATGCAGCAGGAGGAAAGTATATTTGCACTCTGCTTTAGCATAACTATTACTACGTAGCTGCAGGGCAGATAGTTTAAATTACTAGAATCATGTAGTGATTTTAAATCACGCCATGAATAAAATGCTGATTTAACTTTATAGCCCAAATTTAAATGAAGCAAAGGAATAATCTGAGAATCCTAAAGCAATCTGCAAAAATAGCTTGATACCTAGTTAACTTGTCAAAACTCATCTTCCTGCTTTACACTGTGATTTCCTCATCTTTGTACAGGCTCAGTGTGTATAACAATTTTTGCACCTCAGTTTTATCTAGTGCAACAGAGGGTTTTTCTGCATTCAAGATCTGATCAAACAGAAGTAGATCCCTGCTCCTCCTTTCTCCAGAAGTATCATGAGCAGTCCCAGCTGCATCAGGCATACCCTTGTGTTGAGAAATCCAGACTTGCCAGAATAAGATGGTCTGTTTAAATGGTAAGTGTGCTGCAAAGCATGAATCTAGTAGTGAGGATCACAGTCTTCCACCAAGCTGTCTGTGATGTAGGTGGCTTCTAGGACCGTTTCATAGTATCTTTTCTCTGCAAATGTGTTCACGGTCCAGGCAACCACTTGAATTCCTTTTGAAGACCAGTGCCTCACATAGTCTCTGTAAAGAATAAAGAAACTATAAGAGGAAGGGAGATACTACTCTATTTCATGCATACAGCACTCAAAACTGCATTTTAGTTTTACATCAGTATTTCATCAAGAATGATAGCATGTCATCTTTGGCAGCAAAATATTCTTAAACAGGCAAAATCAACATATCCTTTGAGATTAAAAATACAAATTGAAAAGACAAGAGACCTAAATGTAATGAATACAGATTGAAAAGAGAAGCATAAATGTAATGAATGAACTATGTAAACTGCATTACACAATACTAACTTCAGCACCCTGATAAACACGTGCTCTTTCAGCTTCACCTTCATATATTGGTAGAAACGGTATTGCCTCCTTATACATTAGCAACCTTTAAACACTTACTGAGAAACAAAATTTTTCTGTATGAGGAAAGCTGAAACTCCACATAATCGCCACAAGAAACTGTGTAGGCTCCAATCCAGAATGACATCCATCATCATATACCAGTAATGTTTCCAGAAGGAATCGAAACGAGGCGTCCCGTTTCCAAGATGACTCAGTTGCCAGGGCCTGTACGTCAGCGCTGTTACAACATTTTTATCAGCTTGTCTCATCTGGAAGATCAAGATGAAGACAGTGTAGTTCACACAAATGCCAAGCTGCAGAGCTGCACTGAATATAAAGTGGGAGAAATAGATGCAAAGTGATAACTTGAATCTGCAGCTCTATCCAAGTCCTTTTCCCCTGTACAATCCCAGTCCTTTCTCAGCTCTTTTTGAAAGCTGATATAATATTGTACTGGTTTTCTTTTCCTTAAAATGTGCTGAATAAGTGACTGCTCTTATGTTAACAAGCTGGAGCAGAACAATCAGAAAACAGAATAAAATACATAGTAAATGGACTTGACAGTAAGAATCAGGAAACAGTTTTAAGAATAGTCCACCTATTCTTCAAAATATGAAAATTATTTATATCTTGCACACAGATACCTGCCACATACCGATTTTAACAGTGATATTTTTTTTTCAGAATGGGAAGTGTTGCTGTTTATTCATAATATGTGCAACTAAGGAGCCCAGAATCATCCACTAAGATGATGCAAAAGACTTACGATTTGTGCTTCTTTTATTTTAAGTCTTAACAATCCAAACTACTCTGGAATTTTAAGCTGTATATCTCACTGAAAATCTCATCTAGAAATGGAAAAAAAAAATCCCAAGTAAGCTTTTAGGAAATGTTACCTTATAAACAACATCTGGCATGAAAGAACAGACTATGCTGCTGTTATACAAACGAGGAAACTCCAGGTAGAGTTGTTTTAGAGCATGAACTGCCTGTCAATTAGAGATACACACAGATGTTATATATAAATATATACATAAACACACACACATGCTTACATTACACTGGAAATACATGTTAGAATAATCTCCTTTAAAATAATTTCATGTTTTGTGTAGCAAGATTGAAATGGGAAGAGAAGGAAGAAAAACAGGAGCTTGTTTACAGCATTAGCACACAGGTGCCATTTTATTTTTGCAAAAAAAGTCCTGAGAATATTAATCACTGCTGAGTTTGAAGTAACTTTAGATATATAAAGAGCAGTGAAGGATTTTGAAGTATTAGCTATGGCTTAGTTCAAGGGAGAAAAAAATATTCTTATGTTCTGCTTTGCTAAAGAAAAAAAAATAATTCCCGTTTGCATAAAATAATCAAGATTGATTACAAACACCTCCCTTCAGTATTTTAAACTGTAGAAGAGCAGGATCCCTACTTAACTGTTAAATAGTTCCCCTCACCACAGGCAGAGAATTCATGTTGTTATGCAGTGATAGCAGGAGCTGAGTTCAACGTTCATACAAGCCCCACTCTTAGTTGTGAATTGCTGCTTCCCAGGACATCAGACTGGGATGAGTGAAGCCCAAAGATGTGTTTCCCCCTGCCACCCCCTCCTTTTTTTTGACATCCAACTTTGCATGACACAAATAATAGACCAAATCTTCCTCCTACTGGAAAGGGACTGGTACTGTATTTCATTTGGAGACCAACAGCCCGCTGATGACCAAAGCAAGACTGAGTAAAGGTGACAACACATAGTGAATAAGTGGTACCTGGTTTGCATGGCCTTTGACATCGAAGTAGATTATAAGATTGTGTTGCAGAGACTCCACAACAGCTTCTTTCAAAGTCGGTACTCTTTCACCCTGGAATTTCCTCCTGTAGAAACAGAGAACTTCTTACTGGAGTGCACAGACACAAACAAATCCCAAGTACTCGGAGCTGTGTCCTAGGGATTCCCAAAGAAAGCTGGCAGCTATTCTAGTATTAGGGACAAGGTCAAGCATGAACAGCAAAGGCAGCAGCAGTCTCACACAGCACAAGGCTGAACGTGTATAGTGATATTATGTCCACCTCCTTTCCCCCCCCCAATCCCACTAGACAGTCATATACCTCCAAATTCAAGGTCTAACACACTGCATGCCAAAACAATGTCTCACACTGAAATCTCAGATTTTCACTTAATTACAATAAATAAGCATTCAGTCTCAATTATGGACCACCTACCTTCCCGCTTCACTCTGCTTTGACTGTGCTCCTTAGCCCTGACCTAGAAATGTAGGTCTTGCCAGAGCAGACCAGACAAGCTGAGGATGTAGGAGAAACAGCTGCATGCATTAATAAATTATTCCTGATAAAGTGACGGCCAGCAACAGTTGATCAGCATTAACTGCCTGTGTAGAAGTTCTCACTGTGTGGTTCAGGAAATCTGGCTAGGGCCTTTTCAACATATAATCATCATATAATCCTTATGATTACAAAACATGAAGTTGTCTATTGCAAGCAAAATTCCCAGTACATAATCAGTCAAGAAATACATGTGAAAAAAAAATATTCAATTACTCAAATCAATTTTGGAACACAGAGAAAAGGCCAGTATCTTAAGTCTATTTATAGTCTATTCTGCAGTTCATTTATAGGAAACTTATGTGAAGATTAACCTGGCTCTCATTAGATGCCTATGGACTGTCAAATTATCTTGACTCTACTTCACTGTTCCTGATGCAGGAATGAGCAAATGTTACTAATATCAATTGAAAGGTAACAGATGGGACTCTCAGTTTTAAATTTGAAAAAAAAAATCACTAATAGATCAAAGTAATCATTTTCTTTATCATGGATGTTTGTTACTGTTGAAACAATTGTGTCACTACAGCAATACGTCTTTTACCATAGCCTGTGTTTTGCAGACGCATTAAGCTTCCTGATTTCATCAAAGGTCAAGTCACGCAGCCTTCCAGACCCATCAGTTGTCCTTTCTACTGTGTCATCATGCATTAGAACAGGGACACCGTCCGCAGTGAACTCGAGATCCAGCTCAACTCCTGTTGCTCCATTCTCAGCTGCCTTGAAAAAACAGGAAACACATATACGACAGAAAAGACAGCTTTATAGAATTAGTAAAGCTACTGCTATATTTAGTGTCTATTCTGGGAAGAATAGGAAACTGTTCAATAAGCTCAGTTTGCAGAATTTAGGAAGTTTTATCAAGTTATTGAAAAACATATTTGTATATTAGCTGAAAATATATTATCTATCTTATACATAACATGATAGCGATCATGTTTTGGCCATGGGATTAGGATCAGAATAAAACACAGAAGGGAATGCTCTCCCATCCTCTTGACCAATAACTCCTGAGTTCTTAAGTTGTGTTACTTTCTAAAAGGGATGGGTAGCAGTTTAAATAACTTACAGATTAATACTTGGAAGGCAATTGGTTCTAAACCGATGAGCAGGCCACACAGCATAATGACTTTCCTTGCCAGTAGAAAAAGCTCTCAGCCTTCTTGTATGCAAAACAAATAAAACACTTCCTTTCACAGTCAAGATTCACCATGTTTATCCAGTATAGTTGATCCGCCCAAGTGAAGTACACATAAAATGCTCCAGAAGCATCCCTTATGATGCTCGTACTAAGTACTAAATGCATGTAGAAAAATCCTAATTCCTGTTTATGGAGTCCCATAAAAGACAGCAGTCGAGATGGGCAGCCTCCGAACGATCAGTGCTTCCTCCTGCTGCCCATCTCTTTCCCAGGAACTCCTCAGGCAAGCACAGAATGAGCTGCAAGATGGCTCTGAAGGCCAGATGTCCTTCTGGAAACAAGGCCAGTGCCACAGAAAGACAAATGCACTAGATGCTACCAAATAGTCAAGTAAGGATGCTCTGAGGCTGAAACAGGAGCCTTCCCTCGCCCAAAGGTAAAGGGCCAGCAGATCTCCAGCAAAAGTCGGAATTCCTACTTACAAATAATATTAGCACTGGAAGATTCAATTTTGTTACTAGTGTGAATGAAATTTCTTTTGAGACTGGAATTTTCACAAGTAACGTGGCTTGGATATATCAATTAAATTCTTTTTGGAATAAGTCCCAGGGACTCAGACATCTGCTGTATGTGATCAATGTGATTTTACCCACTTTCCAGAAAAGGTATTTTCATGGTATCTCTGCAGCCTGGGCAGTGGACAAGTCAGAGTCTCAACTCTGATGCAACATGACAAGACAGGTGAGGTGGCAGGGCTGATCAAAGGGAAGTTCTTGCAATACTGAGTTTCCCTATAGCTGTGGCTTCTCAAAGCTCATTAGAGACCTTCAGAGAGATGACCTTGATACTAAGTTGCTGTGCTCCCTCTACAGTCTGCTGCCACACCTACAAAATAAAGTATTTCATTACTGTTACAGGGCCAGGCTATGGCACAGCCACAGACAGCAGGGCTGTCAGCACGTGTGAGAACACCCACTCGGGCACAGTTCACACTCAGAGACCCCAACCCCATCAGCCCACGCTGGCCCCTCCTGAACACTGACAAGCAAGACGGCAAAGGTGGCAGCGTCGTTTTGGATGACGAGGGCTCGGCCCCTGCTGGAAAGACACATCAGCAAACACAGCCCGCAGACTTGCATTAAGCAGTGCAACCAGCGTCGGTCTCCAAGCCGCCAGCGCCAGAGGGGGTGAGCGGGGCCCGTTGCCGGGGCTGCCGGAAGGGCCTGCGC